AGTGGTAGTAGTATTAGTAGTAACAGCGGTAGTAGTGGTAGTAGTAGTAGCAGTAGTAGTGGTGGTGGTAGTAGTATTAGTGGTAGTAGTAGTAGTAGTCCGCCCGTAAGACAGGCTGGTGGGGGAATAGACAATTCTAAGTGTTGCGACACTGTATTCCCGCCAAAACTTTTCATCTGTTATTCCAAAAATGTTATCAACATGTCAAACATAGGAATAAAGACCCTTTTATAACTGGACAGTACCAGCTTTTATCCAGTCTTCCTATGAAGACGTCCACCAGTAGAGGTCTAAGTGGTGATACCATCGGCATGCCGTCTAGCTGGAGACAAAATTGGCCATCGAATTTGAACTGAAAATTTAACTTGCAGCAAAAGAACGATTCCTTTAGGTCTCCGATTGGAAAATCCTGTCTTACGATCTCGTCACATAAAAATTCTACCGTTTCAGTTGGAGGGAATGCTAGCAAACAAACATGCGACATCTAGGGGCGACATCGTTTTCCCGCTGTGATTTGTATTTATTATGCAATCGATGAATTCCAACATCCCCCGTAGACTAAGAAGTGTTTTTTTGTGTCACAAAACCCTGTTACTGCCGCCAGAGTGTATATTAAGCCCACACCCTTTTACTTAATCATAGTGAACTTCCTTTGAATATCCACCGACGAGATTGCATCCTCCATCTACAAACCTATTGATTTATAGATAAGATGTGGTCATGTAGTCCCACCTGATAGACAAAATGCTGTTGGGGTTGGGGTTAGGGTTCAGGCTTAGGGGTTAGGACAACTATTTCTCAACCACTCACAGTACAACCACGCATTCCCAATAGCTTTTCTTCTTCACAGAAATACTTGACCTCGTCGCCTGTGAGTTCGACGGCCCCACCTGTAAAAACCCCTATTATCACCTGTCACGGGTGGCTGGTGTTTGTTTACTTCGCGTGGGGCTACATAACCACATCTGACCGATTTATAATTTATATGTTCAAGACAAGCCGTCCTTTTGCCCCTCCTAACTTTGTACTCTCAATCAAGACGGTCGCAACTATCCGCCACAAGTATCACTACGGTTACATGCCCTGACTTATTCGGCCCCTCCCTGGACGCGAGTGAAGGCGCCGACTAAGCGCTACGAAGCTCGTGAGAACGGCTGCCAAAGTCTTCTTCGCATTTTGGTCATAGTCACTACTGATTGCTGGCTGCTACAGGCCTGGATTGCATGTCCTTCGTTCTGAGGTGCTCTTGGGAAATCGGTTTTGAAGCATTTTGTCCCCGGTACGAAGCTGAAGTAGGCAAGAACAGCAGGATTTATTGGCACCAAAAAATTTCGCGACTGCTCTTCAGCTGCTTCCTGTCGCTTCATAAGAGGGATAACGAGTGAGAACAATACAACAGATTTGAATTCATGCAGAAAATCGATGCAGAAACAGCAAGGTTAGGGTTTTGGGCAAAGTTGGTAGCCTCTGGCTCCATGATTCCCCCTCTCTCCTCTCATTTTTTGCTCTTTAACGTTCCCTTCTTTTTCACTTTCTTCCCCTACGGCGTTTGTGTTATTAACTTTATCGATTAGCCAACTTTGCCCAAAACCCTAACCTTGCTGTTTCTGCATCGATTTTCTGCATGAATTCAAGGTGAATGGGACTTCTGCACGACGCAGGAGTTAGCTCCACCTAATGCTTTTCAAACTGTCCAGAGGTCATTGGCAAACCAGCCCCCACCCTTCTTACGGACTGGCTGAGGCGTTGGTTAGAGGAAAACTCAGTCAGAGTTCAGTCAGTTTCAACCATCGTCAGGGGCTGCTTGAAGCCAGACAAGGCAAATGCGTGTTCACCTTCTCAGTTCTGCTCACTTCACAAAGTGCGCGAAATGCATTTCACCTCGTCAGCCTCCTGTGAGGTCATTCGC